CTGTCTTGTCCCTGGTGCTTCACTTTCCTTCCCTCACTCTCCTATAAATGGTCCCTTCAGGTAACAGAATTCTACTTCCTGACAGAACTCTGATTGCTTGACATTTTAAATGATTAAGAAAAAATTGGGACAGGTTGGTGTATAGTGGTAAAACATGATGGTCTAAGGGGCAGACCCACCGGGGAGGTTCTGGGTTCATGTCCAGAGACCTCCCTGAGCACCTCGGTTCAGGAATGGCTGAAACTTGGGGTGTACCATAACATCATTTCTTTCTGTCTCTGTCTTTTTTTTTTTTTTTACAGAGATTTTTGCTGTAAGGCACATGTGCTTGCCAAGGAAACCGAGACAGTGAGGAATTACTCTGCAGGGGAAGTAGCCATGTTGCACTCTCTCCTCTTGAGATTTAGGGCATGCATGCCTACGTATCCAGTAGGAGTTTTAAGCAGTCAGGTCTGAGACTTGAATTGCAGTTGACTACAGGGGAGTCCAGTGACATAACCATTATGCCATCTGCTCTGTCTGTCTAGGTCATGGAAGAAATAAACAGAAGGAAAAGAAGAAAGTAAAGAGGGAAGGAAGAGAGAGAGAGAAAAGGAGAAAAAATAAAATAAAGAACAAGGAAAGAAAGAAAGAAAAAGAATGAGTCTATTACTTTCCTTTGCTACCAGGCATTATGTGATTTGCTGTGGACTATTCACTATTCCAACAGAGATCAACTATTTTATAATTTAACCATTCCTTTGCAGCTTTTGGTTGGGGCTTTTGGTCCAGACCTTACTCTCAAATTAGAATAATTCAGTAAGGACCTCTTTGTAAAGAGACTACTTACAAAGGACAGGCTGGGCTCTAGCAGTTGTAAAGCAGGGTTCAGTACCCTGAGGCAGCAGTGTGGAGTTCTGCCTCCTAGGCCTGAAAAGATGAGAGGAGGAAGTGTTCCCCAGATCAAAAAGTTGGATAGAGGAGACCACCAGTCGTGACACTTACAAGAGGGACACAACAGTCCAGTCTCAGTGACCTTTCAGAAAGGGAGTCAGGAGAAAAATACTTCTCCCTCCAGTCTCCTCTCAGGGCCCAGCATCCTCTGGACCAGGTGGCCAGCGGGCCTGAGAAACCTCTTGGTACAGTTCAACAGCCTCCCAGGGCAGAGGGCAGGGCTGAGGAGAGTGGGAGGTGACTCCTGAGAGGCAAGGGGAAGACCCAACATCCAATCAAATCAGTCCTAATTCTCTCTGATGTAGAGCCTGAGATAGGGATTGGAGGACTGATGCTTTATTTGGGAAATGTGAGCCCAGGATGGTGAAAGTGAGGAAACAAGAGAAACAAAACAAAAAAGAAAGAACAAAAAGAAAAATAATACAAGGGGAAAGCAAAGAGTGATGCTGAGGTGTGTGGCCATGTTTGAGCTCCAAAGAGACTTGGCAGGGAGGGTGGCTGAGCAGGTGCACCTGCTCCAGGGAGAAGTTCTCTGCAGGGAGAAGTCTAATCTTAAGGCAGTGGACAGGGGAATCAAAGAGAGGAAATGTGTGTGCCCTGTGCCCTAGCAGTCCCGTATCCCATGGTCAAGGTCCGAGGGAATAGACTTCCTACACTCTGGCTGGTATCATCCAACCCCTTTGCGACTGCTCAGGGAACCACACTCTCTCACAGAGTGACATGTCATCGTGCTGGGAACAGGAGGACGACCCAACGTGGGTAGGGCACAGGGTGGACAGTGGAGGCTCGGGGCTTCAATCTTGACTCCAGCCACCTTAGGAAGCTTGGCAAAGGTGTTGGCGAAGGTGGCAGCAGCATGATCTAGGGGGCAGGCACTACCTTCAGAAATAAAGTAGTGGGGAAGAAGGTGCAAGCGTTTCTATCCCCCATAGCCTCAAGTACAGAACTTCAGGAAGGGGACACCAGGCAAAGCAGGCAGCGTTCCAACATCTATTGCCTCTCTGCCTGCGCTGCCTCCAGTTGTACAGACCCTCACAGGTTTGTCGTTCTGCTCAGGTGCAAAGTCAGTCCTCTCAAACTTCTCCAGAATTTTTCTTTTCTTGTGAATTATGAACCAAAATTATTCATGTATCTATTTAGTCAGTTATTTGGCATGCATTTATTCATGCATGCAGTTATTCATTTAGTCACTCATTCATTGATTCATTGCTATCTGCTTCTTATCCTGAAATCCGTGAAGATCTTGAAGACTTTGGTTTCCATTAACAGCGCCCTCCTTCTGC